TGATAATCCACCTTAACCAAAATCAAAGTAGACTATCACTCACCCACACCAGATGGAAAACTCTACAGACTGTCGGTTCATATATATATATCGTCAAATATATATATATATATATCTGTTTGTGACGATATATATGCAAACAACACACACAATGCACACGCACACACACAAACGCACACAGACAAACAATAGACACGCACACACATACCCAAAAAAAAAAGAGGAAATCATGAGCACACCATACACACACATAGAGGAGGTACATTCCACTGGACTATCAACAGAACCGACGGGGCTGCTCACGACAACCAGCAAAGCGAAAGCATCCATCTCCATGATTCGCAAATCGACATCTGCAACCATCGTCACCCGAATAGAACGCCCGGTCATTATATCTGTGTTTCCGCCAATTCTCAGTCCAAATACAGTGATCACGACCGGGGCGTTCTATTCAGGTGAAGACGGTAGTCTGAATAGTTCCTTACCCAGTTCCACCGAAAGCACAACGCAGCTGCTTCAGACTGATAATGACCAGGCGTTCCTTTTCTTTTTCTTTTTTTTTTTTTTTTTTTTTTTTTTTTTTTTTTTTTTTTTTTTTTTTTTTTTTTTTTTTTTTTTTTTTCTTTTTTTTTTGTTGACCGGGCGTTCTATTCGGGTGGCCGCCTTTCCTTGATGTGCTTTTCTGGTGCGTGCACAACGCAGTTGCAACTTCGCGCCACCCGAATAGAACGCCCGGTCATTACATCTGTATTTGGGGCAATTTTCAGTCCAAATACAGTGATAATGACCGGGTTTCTTCGAGATGGTAGCCGTTCGGGAACACTTCTGTACTTCTTGAGATTTTCTACACATCATACCCAGCTGGATTTTTTTTCTTCTTATTTAAGTATTACTGTATTAAGGGAAAAGGAAAAAGGAGGAGGATTTCATTTTTCGAAAAAGTATGCCAAGCATGAAGAGATCAGGAAAATAAAAATAAAAAAACAGATTTTTAAAGTTAGCTACCCACCGCCTCTATCGAAATAGTAGTAACCGGTGGCGCCGAGTTTTCATCTTCAAAGAACAAGTCATCGTATAAATCAGTCTCAACAATGTCAAGGATGTCGCTTTCAAAAAAGAGGGCTGGGTCTGCTTCGACTTCATCCATCTCTCCTTTTCGCCGCTTCCTGCCAATCAAGAGACACGTCTCGTGCTGCACACACACACACACACACACACACACACAATCTCGTGGTTGCTGCTGTCATTTTCCGTGCAACTGGAGATCGAGTCCTGCCCCTCTGAAACCGTTTTCGGTTTCCATGCTCATTACTAGGTGCCAAACTGCGTGCGTGGAACCCCCTTGTTCGTGGGCAAGCAGATCAGTACATACAAACAGAAGAGAGAGAGACTGAGAGAGACAGAACGAGACGGACAGAGTCACAAAGCAAACCCCAAAACGAAAGGAAAAGCTC